ATTCTTCAGATTTTATTTTCATTTATCGAATCTGCAATCGACCAACTTCTATACTTTATTGGCACCAGGGAGTTAAAGCTGTTATTGCCAAAAGCTTCGAGAGAATTCATCGTAGTAACCTGGTAGGAATGGGTATCATCCCACTTTGTTACAAGTCTGGTGAAGATGCTGATTCACTTGGCTTGACTGGACATGAGCGTTACACAATTGACCTCCCAACCAACATCAGTGAGATAAGGCCTGGCCAAGACGTGACTGTCACTACTGATTCTGGAAAATCTTTCACCTGCACTGTTCGCTTTGACACCGAGGTAAATTCCACTTTCTTTTCCTTTCACACCACCATCATCAGCTTGAAATGCTTTCGTTTTCCCTACTCGAAACCTCGAATTTGCCCCTAATTTCAATTCCTGTCTACAGGTGGAGCTGGCCTATTTCAATCATGGAGGTATCCTTCCGTATGTTATTCGAAATCTCATTAAGCAGTGAGAGGAACATGTGGAGTAGCTAGCTAATTTAGCAGCAGCAGCAGCAGAAGCAGCAAGTGGCGTGACAACTCGTCCTTTTTGTATTCCCCACTTTCATTAATAAGAAAAACGAAACTCCCGTATGGGACTCAATTTTTTTTAATAGAGAGCGATCTATAAAGCACACAGCAGGTTTGCCTGTCTAAAAACTGTCGAGGTTGTATTTATTAACCGATTATTCTCATCTGGCAGCATCTATCCTGTCGCTGTATCATAATCACCCTTTTTTTTATTCTAGTATGATCCTACTGGTGGTTGGGTACTACGCTGCAGATCCGAGTTGCTGGCATCCACATTGTTGTTAAGGATATAACAGAAATGAAGGTTAAACACCCTCATAGATCCTATAGTATCCTATCCAAATTTTTCTTTTATTAGGTCCATAGCTAAAAAACCTACTTTCCGACTTTCTTACGATAACGGAGTTCATTCGAATATGAAATCCAATTCTGGAAATACAGCATTTCACTTTTTTTTACTACTCAAGGCTTCGATACATTTTGAAATCGAAAAATTTCTACCGAAACAGGTGCTATACGAGAACAATTAGCCGATCTGAATTTCTGACTTATTATAGATTATTCGTCGGTAAAATGGAAAGAATTAGGCGAAGAGGGACCTACGGCAATGAACGGTTACTTTAATATATTTGATGGATGAGGGGATTCTTAGATTCTTAGAACCGTCAGCAAAAAGTAGTCGCAATAGTTTTTTACTGCCTAGGGAGAATAAATAAGAGATTTTGAAGAGTTTCTTACATAATTTACTCAATTATTTGCTCTATGTCAGTATGTCAATGGCATTAGGAACCTTTATTAAACAAGTATGATACGAATCAAATAACTCCAGTAAGATCGAAATCGGTCGATGTCGTTAAAAATAAGACTTTTTTGTTTTTTTACAATGAAAAAATGCCAATTATTTGGTTGATAGTACTTTAATAATTCATTTGAGCACTAAGCTCCAAAGGAATAAAACGACTCCTGGTCCATACCCATCACAATTAATGGGGATAAATTTCTATTCCAATTATGAAATCAATTCAGTACAACAAACAATGTAGATTCCTTTTAGTACCAAAAAAAACCCTCAACAACTTTTGTTACAAGCAATTATTCGAAATAGCCAAAAATAAATTATTCAAACTTTTGTCACAATTTTTGGTTGAACTAAAATTTTGGGTTTTGGGTGTGAGAGACTCTTATTTCGTGCTCATATTAATTAAATAAATGGAGTAGTTTATCTTTTGTTCCTCACTTGAATGGAGTGTTGTCACCTACTACTACTAACCCAAAATTGACTACATCAAATGATTCGTATGTGTCTACTTGATGATTGAATTATTTCACACGTTAATTAAAAAAATAGAGAAACGTGTTCCACGGCAAGTTCCAATATCTTAAAAAACACATTATCACGTATTTTTATGATTTGTCAATCTCAATGTCCAATGCCTTTATACCTTCTATGATATTGTTCTTTAGAACAGACCGACAGGCAGAAAAAAACAGCAGTAGCTCATCTTAGAAATTACATATATTATAGAGTATAAAGATAATAGTATTTGCGACCTGCCAAAAAAAAAAAAAAAAAAA